TCGCCCCGGCCCTGGGTGGGGCAGAACTGGGAGGCCAGGGGAGAGAGGGGAGGAGAGCAGAAGACGTGGGGGTGCGGGGAAAGGGAGAGAGCGGCGAGGGGTGGGGGGTGGGGGGCTGGAGCTATCAAGCAATCAGATCCTTGCTCCAGCATTTTAACTTCCACAAAACAGAGCCCATAGCAACAATGTTCTGGCCGTGTTTTTCCCCCTAACTGGTAACATTCCTGAGGGCAGAGAGAATCGCAACCCGGGGTTTCTGGCTGCTGTCAGACAGGCGCTGGGAAGCAGAGGAAGGCTGTGGACTGGAGGAGTGTAGGGATGCTTTTCACAGGGCCACCCTGGAGGGCATGTGAAGGTCATTTTAGGTTGTATGGGGGGAATATTTTATGGACCTCACCTGGGTCTATCCACCCATTCCTTCCCTCCTGGTCTGCCTAAGCCCAGCCTTAAGAAGGCATTTTCCTGCACACCGTCCCCAGAGTCTCAAAGAGCTGCCAAGAAAGTCCATGAAAGTCTGGACTGCGTTGCTGTTTTCACTGGGAGGTCCTGGGTGCAAACAATCTAGGTCCATCATTCTGTGGGGGCCCTCACCTCCACTTGGTCTGACCCAGCTTCAGTTAAGTCGTGTGACTTACACATCAGCCAAAGCAAGGGGAAAGAGAAGAATCGGCCACTCCTGGCGGGGACGGAGTCAACGCTTTTCCTTGATCGTCAGAGCAGCACAGGATGCAGTGTGAGGGACGACAGGTGGCAGGGTGGTTAAGACCCCGCACGGCCCACCACAGTTCAAGTCCCAGACCAGCAACTTGAAACTCACACCAGGTGTGTGCGCGTGTGCCCAAAATCCCAAGAGGAGACCGGAACAGAACAGACTGTGGTGTGGCCAGTTCCCCGGGGCGGGGGAGAGATTTCTCACTTTCCGTCTCTCTCTGTCTCTCTCCTTCTCTCTCCAACAAGTGTGCACACTTATGACAAAAGCCTAAGACAATAAACATTTAAAAAATAAAATTAGTGCAGCGTGGACCTTTTCTCCCCCTTAATATATTCATTCACTATTTGGGGAGGGGGTGAACACTACTTAGGAGCTGACTTTTTTCACAAGCAGAAAAAAAATTGGCAAAGGATCTTTTAAAGAAAGCGCTTAGAATATCAAGTTCCAGGTTCTTCAGAAGCAGCCCTTCAGCCTTGTCCTACGGGGATCCCCACACCTTCAACCAGGCTGCAGCCTCGGTGCTTCCTGGCCTCCCAGGGCCCTGGAACAGCTGCAGCGCTTATCTTCACCTGCGTCCTCAGTAGCCAGTGGCCTAGCCCCCACCGCCTGCACGATGGGGTCGAACTCAGGTGGGCATGTCTGGCCTCCCAAGTACATTTGGGACTGTGTGAGGGCGGAGAAGGTCTCTTCTGTATCTCTGTAACTGCACAGACGACACCTAGCTTTCGGTGAGTAGGCTGGCTAGTAAAACCCAGTTCCCACCCTGCAGTGTGCACAGCTCGGAGCCCACCGGAGCTTCGTCGCACTGCCTGTGCACCTGGTGGGGCGGGCATCCACCCTGGGGTCCAGGAGCTCAAATTCAGGACTGAACACTGTGAATTGCTGGAGCAAAGGGAGTCCCTCCAAGCTTTGGGTACCTCCGTTTGCTCTCTAGAAAATGAGGTGGCTCTTCCATGCCTTCCTTCCCTGGAGCATTTGAGGAAATGAAAGGATGCAGGCTGCACATTTTACTCGTGAGACATAACCTCAAAAATATCAGTCATTTCCATAATGGTTTTCCGAACACTGGCATGGCTAAAAGACCGTGTGTTCACCATCAAAAACTAGGACGGGGACCTAGTAAAATCGTTTCCCACTTCCATCATCCGTCTAGGTGAAGTTCTCACCAAGGCACAATGATGAAATTAAACCTAGCTATGTATTTAAGATGGATACTGCCCAGAAATTCTGGTGTGTTCATCGTGGTGTCAAAACCGTCAGTATCGCTTTTATCATTTCAGCAGTCTGACTTCCACTTCCAGAAGAAAGCAGGCTGCAGCTTAGCACCTTTGCAGCCTCTCCTCCTAAAAAAAAAAATAATAATAAGAGAAATAAACTAAAGTATAAGAACACCTATCAAAGGTTCAGTTATTCCCAAAGGAAAAGGAAAATATTTCAAGTGATTTTCTAAAATGCTTTGTCTAAAACAGCATGTCCTTACATTCTGCCTTTTGAAGATGAGAGTGAGAGCGAGAGCGAGAGCGAGAGAGAGAGAGCTGCAAACAGTTGTTTATGTCAGTGCCTTTTAAACTGCCTGGTCATAAAATATTCTCTTTGAGAGAAAGATGATCCCTTTGTGTCCCATAGATCAACTGCTTAATTCTGAGAGTTGGCGAATGCATATTAAGTATGCAGATTCCACTGGTACTTGCATTTGTATTAAATATCAGCTCCATACAATTTAAATGCATTGGGGTATGAAATGTACCAAAGACCGTTTTGCGGGCAGGATTCTGGCAAAGTAGCCCACTTTGCTTTAACAGTCTCGGTGCATTAATGGTCTGAAGGGCTTTGGGGGGCTCCCATTCCATTTTGAGTAATTAAGGGAAGAATGTGGGTTTCTTTATTAAAACACAGATTAAATCGCTGCTTCCAGAACCACCGTCTTTCTTGTGGGGAACCACTTGGTACAACAAATTGCTGTGACCTACAGTAGGAGGCTGGAGAAATCCTGCACTTCGTCTGTTTATACCATTTTCTCAGTTATCATTTATTTATGCCAAATCCTGTTCCTAAAAGGGAGAAGAGGAGAATAAATCTGGGCAATGCCAAGAAAGAAGGAAACGTGTGAAAACAGGAGGGGAAAAAAGGAGAGTGACTTTCAACACTCCCTCGTTGCTAATTGAGTTGAGCCACACAGTGCCGTTTTCATGAAAACGTGATATTAGCAGGATTGCTTAAAAAGAGCATTGGATGAATGAAAGGTTTTTTAGAAAACTTCTCCCAGCACAGCTTCCTAAATAGAGAAACTTGGAGGAGCACCCTCACAGCAAAATTCCATTATTTCTTAATGAGTCTTCAGAAAGTTGTTATTAGAATAGACAGAGCTTCATGGGTTTGAAGACAGTAAGGAACGTTTTACTATTTAAAAAGCCCTGCTCCATAAAAGTGGGTGGGTCTGTGCATTCACGTTGTCATTGTGCTTATTACTAAGACAGAGATGGAAAGAACCTAAAAGAGGGAAAG